GTGTGTGTGTGTGTGTGTGTGTGTGTGTGTGTGTATCAGCTGGTTTTTGTTATTCAATTGCAAGTCTTAAATATTCTTCACAAGAGTATATCCACACATACACGTGTGGCTTATTGATAAATTCACATATTGGCGAGGACAATCCAAGTGAAAAAAAGTCACAAAACTCATGAAATATATGATGAAATTTGTTATGTTTTTTTGTTGTTTTTTTTGCCACGATGTCGCGTCATATAAAGGCATCATGTTCTGAAGTAGGACGGAGGGGAGGGGGATAATGTCACAGTAAATAGACTCGAATATTTCCAATAATCCTTCATCAGAAACTTAAACATCTTATCAAGTGTTTTTAGTTAGAAGCATACATTAAATTGTGACAGTCGGGCATAGGCATATCGATACAATTAGCGACGTATGTTTGCCAATGAGCTTAAGCTTTTTCTGTCATTTAAATGAGTTTTTTTTTATCGAGTCTGGCAGCGTTATTTTTATTTTATTTTTTGTGCACCACAATACAGAGTCAATATACGAGTTACAATTCGCAACAATTAATATAGATACAGTGGGCAAATTGGGGATGTACAGGTGGGGCACGGGCTTATAATTTATCATATGAGAGTATACATAACCCTTATCAAGATTATTCAGAAAAGTTAAAGAAACTATTTGAAAAATACACACTTTTTTTTATTACATCTATACCAGTATAAAAGTGTTAAAGTTTAAAGTCAAGTAAGAGTCTATGAAGAGAAAAATGGGAATGAAGATAACAATTTCGGCATAGAAATATTTTATAATATAGAAATGGAATATTTGAAGTCTTAATGGGAAACCTATTTATCAGATGTTTTACCAGAATGCTTATGTTTCTTGTGCAAAATATGAGAACCCATAAATGCAGAGGTCAGTGGCAAAAGATTTGTCGGTTACATGAATGCTTAAAAATCGGTCGTTTTTAGTTCTGATTTCAAAACTTCAGTCTAGTTTATTTACTGAATGGTAGGAAATTAAATTTGATCTCTAACGAAAGATAGTATTTTTGTTTCTTATTAAACACAACACTGCTAAAGGCTGTCTGTGCTCTGTCCATCGCGGTTATGGAAACCTAATTTTTAGTGTTATAAGCTCTCAGACTTACCGCTGAACCCCCGGGGGTCAGAAAGAAGCAAAAAGATGAAATTAATCACAGATATCTTCAACCTTTAATTATTGTTATTATATATTTTTTTGAATAAAGATAAAAAAATGTACCATATAAGAGGATATTTTTATTTGTTTTCGGATATTCGTGCATAGCTACTGAAGGTATCGTCCTAACCTTCCCTGATTTTTAACTGATAAACTGAAGTAAAGGCAGCTAATCAATAGCATCCACAGCCAGCACTTGGATTACTGTCTAACCGAATAGTGGGATTTAACTGTTACTGTTAGGACGTACCCGCAGTTCGAAATGTGGAGCGTGATATTTAAAATATTTTTGCGGTAATGGGACACGAATAAGCAATCTACAGATCCACAGTTCGGTACGCTCGGGACAACATTCGGCCCAATAAGAAGTTTACTAATCATCTATATATAACACGCTTGCGTTTATCTGTCCGGAACTTTTCTAGCAAATTTCTTGATCAAATTCTACAGATCTCATATCGTTAGAAAGGCCATTGTCCAAAGGGTCAGAATTGCATTTTGGCTTTTCAATTCGAATCACCTTACCAGTTTTTTTGCTTAATCTAACGAGTAATAGTACATGATGGTACAATGTCGTTGTCATCACGTGACGACTGGCTTCGTATTCAAGTTTTTTTTCTTTTTTGTATGCAAATTATTTCACACAAACAACATTTAACCTGCGTGTAATTTCTTTAAAAATGGATATTACACTAACTACAATTTCTGTGTGCTTTTTTGACATATTTAGGTCTAAAGTACGCATGAGCAGTTCATTCGAAACCAACTGCTTATCACTGTGTGAATACGCATTCAGAAGTTTCTGCATATTCAGCTACGTTTGTCTTCATTTCAAATTTACATTCATTTTACTTTGCAATAATTTAGCTTCGGTTAGTTTCATACACTGCTATAAACAACTTTTAGCTGCTGTCTTATTTAGTACGGGTTTTATTTTTCGTTTTTGTGAGTTTCTTTGTTTCAAGTCGTAAAACCGTGTCATACACCTAACGCCCACACTGTTTCATACTCTGTACACTATAAGTACCGTTACTTTACTTTATTCTTTACTTTACATATAGTTTTATTAAATAAAGTTACGTCTACGCGAGATTGTGTGTCTGACCACGTAAAAAAAATTCAAATAGACCAGGATTTATCGAACTAACACAATACTTACAAGAAATCATAATGTGAAAAATGGCGTGCGTGAAAATTCAGACGATGGGCATAAAACCTATCGCAAATGTTTTGGGGGTCGCGGCGAGTTCTAATATATTTATACACGGAAAAGATATTTTGGTAAATGTATTGGATAGTTAAATTAAGTTTCAAATATGTGTTTGTAAAAGCACAGACATAAGTTCAGAATTTGTACGGTTCTAATCTTAGTGTGAGGAGAGAGATATGAAATATTTTCCCAAAGTCAGAACCGGAACAAAGGTGACTGAGCAGTCTGTCTCAGCCCACTTCTCTCAGGAAAAGGCCTACAAGGTCTATACAGGTATAATCTCAGAAGATGCCATGGACTGTGAAAAGTTAAAAGTGGCCTTGCTGAAATGCTATGAATTCACCGAAGAAGTTTTTCATTGGAAGTTCAGAGAAGTCAAACCTCACGCTGGATAAACTGTATTTCAGTTTGTGGAATGTCTACGGTGAGACTTCAGAAGATGGACTGACATGGCCAAGTGTGAAAATAGTTTTGAGGTATTGGCAGATCTACTAATACATGAACAGTTCATAATCACGTGCTCTACTGACATGTCACTGTTCCTAAAAGAGAGAGCACCGAAAGACGTGGAGGAGATGATCAAGCTGACAGAACAGCATATGGAAGCCCATGTATGGAGTATAACTTGTAAATCCAAGAATAACCAATTAAAGTCGAAACCAGGGTTGCTGACCAGAAGCAGGATGCCAACAAAGGTGACAAGAAGTCAACAAACAGAATGGAAAAGAAATGCTATGCTTAATTTAAAATTGGGCACATTGCGAGTGAGTCTGTCATCAACAAGCAACAGTAGAAATCTCAACATAAAGCAGCTGTAGCTACCTACAAAGACAGTGCTGGCAAGAAACAAGAAAAGAGTGACTTTCACTGTAGTCATTTGAAACTTTTGCTTCTGGCAGTCTCAGAGAATTCTATTACTTCTGCATATAGTTTATTGTATTAAGAACAAAAACTCGTTTGTTTTAGGCCATAGCCATACAATGGTCTATCTGCGCTGTGCTTAATACAGGTATCTAACCCCGATTTTTATCTTTATAAGCCTTCAAGCTAACCACTAAGATTTCAGCGAACTTGGACTAAGAAGTTATAAACGAGAATATTCTGTAAGTAAGCGGATTTGTTTTAATACGAAGATATAGCAAGTACCACATACTATATAGAATGGTAGTGTTATGATACAAATTAATTACTTTACGTTTAACGAAACTATTTATAAGCTGTAAGAGTATATGAAAACACAAACAAAAAATAACAGGAATAAAAATATTCACAGAAAATGTAATTATGTAGGTGCGGATGGTGTTCTGAAATGATATGATTTTCTCTTTTTTTTTTTACAAAAAGGTACAAATTGGTATATTAGAGATTAATTAATCATGTGGTAACAGATAGAAAAGACTAAAATAATATTTCAAGCGTAAATTAAAAAAAAAATACAACCCATTGCTGTAGGAAACTAACGCCCAGCTTCTGAGTAGGTGTTAGCTTGGGTGTTAACGATGGTTGATACGCCTCCCAAAAATACTAGTTACAACTGAAGTCATAAGCATGAAACTGTTATTTATGGTGTAAGGTTTGAAGTTACAGACGTCAGTGTTAGGTGGGTTGTAGGCATAGTTAATAATCCAGACTGTAAATATTTAGTGTACGTGTTGGCTTTCATGTCACTATTTTTTTATTTTTGCGTAGGTTCTATGTTTATCGAAGCAACCTAATTTTTCCAAATATGACAGCATGTAACATTTTACGGATTCGTAACACGACTTGTTTCAGTCAATAATATCTTTCTTCTCTATTTCTCTCAGTTTTTACACCAATATTTTGGATCGATCATTAGTCATTATTTGAGTATTGTACAAGTCTGGTATGAAATGTTTCAATACCAATCACTGCGAGTTTGAATATTTTCTTGCATAGAAATTTCGCCATTAATCACAAGATGGTTATGTAACACACACAAAGTTGAAATCTAGATTCTGTATCTGAAACTAGTAACATTACGTTACACCAAGAACTTGACATCGTATTTTAAGCGAACACTTCCATTAGTTTAGCTCAGAATTGCTCCTCCTTTCAGAGGGCGCTGAAAGTAATATAAATGAGTAGATGATTATTTTATAAACAAACATATCATAATG